TATGGCACCATAGTAGGTGAATAATCATGAGTTGGACCGAAGGGCAAAATACCTCCAAGTATGAGGATAGGCGTTGGCCTCGTGGGACCACTAATAAGGCATAGGTCAGAAAAAGTAACATATATTGGACTTCCCTTAGAGCCAGTAGCTATACAAACAATGGATATAACGTATGGTAGAGTAGAAGTAATATGATGGAAATTGACATGCCTGGAATCGTGTATGTCAGGTATGCCGCATAGACTTAGTGAGAGTTCTATGGGTGAGACCTATAGAAATAATGACAACAGCTGTAGGAGAACTCGAATGTGATCTGTAATGAGGAGCACAAAGTAACCTGTAAAATTAAAACATGTTATTTATAACAAGTAATAGCCCATGAACCAGAAGACAGTCTATTCAACCTGGACAACCTTGAACATAGTGTATCAAAGACAAACAAAATATATTCACTTACAACAAGAGAAATATATGTTGGGTGGATTGGCGCTATCAATGAAAAAGAACAAACCAACAACCCCCAAGTGCCTAGAAAATCACCAAAAGGCACTATAGAAATACATAGAAAAGAGAAAAAAGCAGATGGGGGATTTAAAAGATGTATAAAAGGATAAAAATTTATACATAGCACAGGGGTCAAGTCCTGGTGAAAAAAGTGTGTGAACTAACCCAAGATTCCCGCCTCCCCCCCTCCCCCCCTTAAAAAAAAAAAAATTACACTCCTATGCATATAGTGCAGTGCAGGGTGTGTATAATGAATGTAGTGTGTTTGTAGTGAATGCAGAGTATGAATAATAAATGTAGTGTGTTTGTAGTGAGTGCAGTGTGAATAATAATTGTAGTGTATTTGTAGTGAGTGCAGAGTGTGTATAATGAATGCAGTGTGTTTTTAGTAAGTGCAGAGTGTGTATAATGAATGTAGTGTTTGTAGTGAGTGCAGTGTGTATAATAAATGTAGTGTATTTGTAGTGAGTGCAGTGTGTATAATAAATGTAGTGTGTTTGTAGTGAGTGCAGTGTGTATAGTGAATGTAGTGTTTTTGTAGTGAGTGCAGAGTGTGTATAATGAATGCAGAGTGTGTATAGTGAATGTAGTGTGTTTGTGAGTGCAGAGTGTGTATAATGAATGTAGTGTGTTTGTAGTAAGTGCAAATTGTGTATAATGAATTTAGTGTGTTTGTAGTGAGTGCAGTGTGTACAATGAATGCAGTGTATGTAGTGTGTTTGTAGTGAATGCAGAGTGTGTATAGTGAATGTAGTGTGTAGTGCGTGCCGAATGTTTATAATGAATGCAGAGCGTGTATAGTGAATGCAGAGGGTGTAAAGTGAATGTAGTGTGTTTGTAGTGAGTGAAGAGTGTGAATAATGAATGCAGTGTGTGCGTGTGCTGGATGATGTGTGTGTGCACGCTGGATGACGTGTGTGTGAGTGCTGGATGACGTGTGTGTGAGTGCTGGATGATGTGTGTGTGAGTGCTGGATGATGTGTGTGTGAGTGCTGGATGATGTGTGTGTGTGCTGGATGATGTGTGTGTGAGTGCTGGATGATGTGTGTGTGAGTGCTGGTGCTGGATGATATGTGTGTGTGACTGCTGGATGATGTGTGTGTGTGAGTGCTGGATGATGTGTGTGTGTGAGTGCTGGATGATGGGTGTGTGAGTGCTGGATGATGTGTGTGTGTGAGTGCTGGATGATGTGTGTGTGAGTGCTGGATGATATGTGTGTGAGTGCTGGATGATGGATGTGTGTGTGTGCTGGATGATGTGTGTGTGTGTGCTGGATGATATGTGTGTGTGAGTGCTGGATGATGTGTGTGTGTGAGTGCTGGATGATGTGTGTGTGAGTGCTGGATGATGTGTGTGTGTGCTGGATGATGTGTGTGTGAGTGCTGGATGATGGGTATGTGAGTGCTGGATGATGGGTGTGTGAGTGCTGGATGATGGGGGGGGACTTTTTTTTTTACTTTATGTATATTTTTTATTTTATTCCCCCCTCCCTGCTTCTTACCTTGTCAGGGAGGGGGGAGATCGCCTGGTGGTCCGGTGGAGGGAGCCAGCCGCTGCACAGAGGGGCCATCACACGCTGTGTTCCTTCTCCAGCTCTAACTCTCGCGAGACTTTGCCATGGTAACAGCCGCGGGTCTCGCGAGAGTTAAAGCTGGAGAAGGAACACAGCGTGTGCTGGCCCCTCTGTGCAGGTAGCAGGGCCGGTCCTGCAGGACAGGTAACGGGAACGGCGTTCCTGCTGTGGAAAAAGTGCAGGAACGCCGTTCCCATGCGTTCCTGCAGGACTCGAGCCCTGACATAGCATAATACTGTAAAGCCATTTACACAATATAAATCAGAGGTAATGGGTCACTCACGATATGTAGAGCCTTAGAAAGCAGGCTCTAACAGTGAAAGCTTTGAATAATAGGCTTATTCACGCTGTCTCCACTGGTATCTTGTTATCAGATGTTTTTTACCTCCTCACACCACGGATGCCACGACCAAATGGATTGGGATATGGAGCTTTACTTCAGTAAAAAATGTAAACATAAAAGAAACCATGGTACAATAAAGCAATAAAATAGAACACATACAAAGCATAACGCGTTTCGACTTCCGTCTTTTTCAAAGTGCATACGAAATGACCACTCTCTGCGTAATTTAAATCAGTCCTTTCCGGAAATTCATTCACTTCCGCGTTCTGATATCATTATGTGGTCGGTAGTTCTTACGTCGTTCATTCTCCAACCAAGATGAGTTCAATAACCAGGAAGTCCATCAAATTAAAGTGCCATTTTGGAAACTGACATTAAAGTTTGTATAATGTAACTTATATGGGGGAGAGACTGGTATGTGGAAATATGCATTAATAAATATTAAATACGTATCGAACAAGTTTTAATTATTATTATTATTATATTTATAGAGCGCCGTCAAATTCCGCAGCGCTTTACAATGGGTGGACGAACAGACATGTAGTTGTAACCAGACAAGTTGGACACACAAGAACAGAGGGGTTGAGGGCCCTGCTTAATGAGCTTACATGCTAAAATGACACAAAAAGGTAAGGATAGTATTAGACTAGTGACAGTTGCAGAAGAGGAATGAGTCAGGAGCTATTAACAGTTTAATTGATACACTTTTATGAAGAAGTGGGTTTTTAACGATTTTTTGAAGGAGTGGAGACTGGGTGAGCATCTAACGGAGGAGGGAAGCGAGTTCCACAGGAACGGTGCAGCCCTCGAGAAATCTTGAAGGCGAGCATCAGAGGTGGGAGTGCGGACAGAAGATAGACGTAAGTCTTCAGCAGATCGTAAGGGCCTAGACGGGACATACTTGAGTATAAGGGAGGATAGATAGGTGGGAGCAGCATTATGTAGAGATTTGAAAGCAAGAACCAGAATTTTAAATTGAGCTCTATATATTTTATAGGAAGCCAATGTAGGGACTGACAGAAGGGGCATGGGAGGTGCGGGCGGACAGGATGATGAGCCTCGCCACCGCATTCATTATGGACTGTAACGGCGCAAGTTGGGAGCAAATAAGACCGGTGAGAAGCGGATTACAGTAGTCAAGGCGAGAAAAGACAGTGGAATGGAAGTAGGGGCGGATGCGCGCAATGTTTTTGAGATGGAAATGACTGGATTTGGCAATAGATTGAACATGAGGCTTGAAGGAGAGGTCGGAGTCAAAGAGAACACCTAGGCAGCGAGCTTGCGTGGTGGAGCTGATGATAGCACCGTTGACTTGGAGGGAGACAGGCACAGTTGTAACAACACTTGAAGGAGGAAAGACCGGAATTTCAGTTTTGGTCAAGTTTAGTTTAAGGAAGTGGGCAGCCATCCAGTTAGAAACAGCAGAGAGGCAGTCAGAGACACTAGTCAAGAGGGACGGGGAGAGATCAGGAGAGGACATGTAGATTTGCGTGTCATCCGCATAGAAATGATATTGGAAGCCAGAAGAGCTTATGAGTTTACCAAGGGAGGCAGTATAGATGGAGAACAGTAGGGGACCAAGGACTGAACCTTGGGGGACACCAACAGAGAGGAGTTGGGGAGAAGAAGCAGAGCCAGAGAAGGAAACACAGAAAGAGTGCTGGGAGAGGTAGGAGGAGCACCAGGAGAGAGCAATATCTTGTAGACCGATATTGCGGAGGATGAGAATAAGCTGTTGATGATCAACAGTGTCAAAAGCTGCAGACAGGTCAAGGAGAATTAGGATAGAGTAGTGACCACGAGATTTTGCAGCGAGTAGATCATTGGATACTTTGGTCAGTGCCATTTCCACAGAGTGCTTAGCGCGGAAACCAGACTGAAGTGGTTCTAGCAGAGATTTGGATTTGAGGAAGTCTGTCAATCTCGCATACACATTTTTTTCAAGGATCTTGGATGCAAAAGTCAGTAGCGAGATAGGACGATAGTTGTATGGGGAGTTAGGCTCAAGATTGGGCTTCTTTAGAATTGGGGTTACAGTTGCATGTTTGAAGGGCAATGGAAATATACCAGAGGAGAGAGAGATTGAAAATTTTAGTGAGAAGTGGAGAAAGAGAAGAAGACAGAGTACGGATGAGATGCGAGGGAATTGGATCTAGGGAGCAGGTGGTGGGGCGGGAGGACTGGAGCAGAGCAGAAACCTCTTCCAATCTAGTGGGTGCAAATGAACATAGAACAGCAGAAGGAGTGAAGTTAGGGGAAGTATTGTAAGGGAAAGAAGAAAGATGAGAGATATCTTCCCTGATTGTAGAGATCTTGTCAGTGAATTGAGTTGCAAAGTTAGTAGGTGGAGGAGGAACAGCAGGGCGAAGAAGAGAGTTAAATGTGTGAAATAGCGTTTGGGTTCGCGGGAGAGTGTGGTTATGAGGGTATTGAAGTAATTAACTTTTGCAGAGAAAAGAGCCAAGCTGTATGAGCTCAGCATAAATTTATAGTGGAGAAAGTCAGATGTAGTGATGTCGCGAACCGTTCGCGAACTTGCCGCGAACGGTTCACCACGGTTCGTTCGCAGCGAACTCCGGTCAGCTGACACATCCCTGCCAATCTCCGGCAGACCCTCCCTCCCAGACCCTCCCACCTCCTGGACAGCATCCATGTTGAAGCTGTCTTCAACATGGATGCTGTCCAGGAAGTAGGAGGGTCTGGGAGGGAGGGAGGGTCTGCCGGAGATTGGCAGGGATGTGTCAGCTGACCAGAGTTCGCCACCAACGGTTCGCGGTGAACCGCGGCGAACCGTTCGCGGCAAGTTCGTGAACGGTTCGCGACATCACTAGTCAGATGCACAGTGAGACTTTCTCCAACAGCGTTCAGAAGTTCTGGAGCATTTTTGGAGGTATCAAGTGAGCTTGGTGTGCCAGGGTTGTTGTTGGGGGGGACTGCAGCATTTAAATGTACAAGGTGCCATGATGTCTAGTTGAGAGGAGAGGGTGGAATTGTAGAAGGAGGTAGCAGAACTAGGACAGGTGAGGTTTGAGATAGGTAAAAGGAGAGTTTGGAGATTAGTGAAGAGATGCTCTAGGTCAAGACATTGGAGGTTTCTGTGAGAGTGATGTTCAGACGGTGGTGTCAATTGGGTCTTACGTATGCCAATGTCAAAAGTCAGCAGATGGTGGTCAGATAGAGGAAAAAGAATATTGGAGAGATTAGAGGCAGTACAGAGGTTGGTGAAGGCAAGATCAAGAGTGTTTCCTGCTGTATGGGTTGCTAAATTGGACCATTGCGTAAGGCCAAAGGAGGAGGTTACAGAGAGCAGACGAGAGGCATCAGTGCAATTGGGGTTATTGATTGGGATAATGAAATCCCCAAGTATAAGGGAAGGAGTGCTAGATGAGAGGATAGGGGGAAGCCAGGAAGAAAAGTGCTCAATGACTAGTCTAATATAACTGGGGGTGCGGTAGATGATAGCAATTCTTAAAGGAGTGGGTTTAAATAGGCGGACAGTGTGAACTTCAAAAGAAGAAAAGGATAGGGCAGGGGGAGTTATGATTGGTTAAAAGGTACATTGAGGTGAGAGAAGGATGCCTACGCCGCCCCCTTTACAGTTGAGTCTAGGAGTGTGAGAATTGTAGCCCACCAAAACATAAAGAGGCAGGAGTAGTGCTATCAGAGAGGGACAGCCAGGTCTCTGTAAGTGCAAGCAGTGTGAGTGAGATTGAGATGAAAAAGTCGTGTATGATTGTTGATTTATATTTATACATATAAACATATCTGCATATATAGCATAATATTAACACTTCAACATAAGGAGAAGTTAATAACAATAACATAATTAAAAATGAATTTTTAATTAAAAAATAATTCAATTTTAAAAAATAAAATAAAAATAGAAATCAAATGATCTAAAAACCAAAGGAATAATCATATACTAAATGAGGGCTGCCATCTCAAAATCCACATTGAGTCCACCTGGAGATAAGGTGTCTAGATTGAAAATCCATCTCATCTCACAGCGGCTCAAGGCGCATTCAGCATGGCCCCCTCTCCAGTGAAACTTAATCATTTGAATTCCATGAAAGGTAAGCCCAGTAGGTTCTCCTCCGTGGACATTAAGAAAATGTGAAGAAACATTATGTTTTAAAAAACCTCTCCTTATGTTGTAAATATGCTCACGTAGCCTTGTCTTTAGGCTCCTAGATGTTCTACCCACATATTGTAGCCCACAAGGACACATGAGCATCACATTTTTTGTGTGACAGGTGATAAAGGAATTTATTTTAAAATTAGTAGAACCAATCCTGGACTTAAATTCCTCTATTCATTTGACCTAGGAGTGCAGTAAGCAGAAAATGCACTTCTTGGATATGGAAATTTCTGCACAGGGAGATAATATTACACGTACCTTTTTCAAGCCAGTGGATGTGAATGGATATATCCACAAGGAAAGTTGTCACTTCCACCCCTGGCTTGATAATATACCTAGGGGACAGTTTCTCTGGATGAGACGTAATTGTACTGATTTAAGCTCTTTTGACCTTCAAGCAGAATTCTTAAAGGGACAGCTTATTGATCGAGGCTATTGCGCTGATGATTTGGATCTGGAGATCCAGAAAATCAGAGCAATAGAGAGATCCCTTATTAACGTATAGACAAAAAAAATTCAGTGGATAGAAATGAAAAAATACCTATTATTTTTAACTATAATTAGGAACATAAAGAACTCAAAAGGATTCTTAATAGGAATTTGCATATCCTCCAACAGGATGGAGAGATTTTACCGTATTTGGATGATAAACCTAAACTAACATTTAGGGGAGCCAAGAACCTTAAACAAAAATTAACATCAAGTTATTTTTATAAATGCCCAAACCGAAGGATAATTTTCTAAGTATTAGCAAAGCTTTACAAAAAGGGTTCCACTATTGTGGAGAATGTATGGGCTGTACAAACTTCAAAAATAAACCGAAACGAAGAGAGGTCCAGGATTGGTTCTACTAATTTTAAAATAAATTCCTTTATCACCTGTCACACAAAAAATGTGGTGTATTTGCTCACGTGTCCTTGTGGGCTATTATATGTGGGTAGAACATCTAGGAGCCTAAAGACAAGGATACGTGAGTATATTTACAACATAAGGAGAGGTTTTTTAAAACAATGTTTCTTCACATTTTCTTAATGTCCATGGAGGAGACCCTACTGGGCTTACCTTTCATGGAATTCAGATGATTAAGTTTCACTGGAGAGGGGACCATGCCGAATCTGCCTTGAGCCGCTGTGAGATGAGATGGATTTTCAATCTAGACACCTTATCTCCAGGTGGACTCAATGTGGATTTTGAGATGGCAGCCCTCATTTAGTATATGATTATTCCTTTTGTTTTTAGATCATTTGATTTCTATTTTTATTTTATTTTTTTAAATTTAATTATTTTTTAATTAAAAGTTCATTTTTAATTATGTTATTATTGTTATTAACTTATCCTTATGTTGAGGTGTTTTTATGCTATATATGCAGATATGTTTATATTAAAACTTGTTTGATACGTATTTAATATTTATTAATGCATATTTCCACATACCAGTCTCTCCCATATATAAGTTACATTATACAGACTTTAATGCCAGTTTCCAAAATGGCACTTTAATATGATGGACTTCCTGGTTAATGAACTCATCTTGGTCGGAGAATGAACGACGTAAGAACTACCGACCACATAATGATATCAAAACACGGAAGTGAATGAAATTGGGCGGGAAATTGAATTTCCGGAAAGGACGGATTTAAATTATGCTGAGAGTGGTCATTTCGTATGCACTTTGAAAAAGACGGAAGTCGAAACGCGTTGTGCTTTGTATGTGTTCTATTTTATTGCTTTATTGTACCATGGTTTCTTTTATGTTATTTTAATTTTTTACTGAAGTAAAGCTTCATATCCCAATCCATTTGGTGGTGGCATCTGTGGTGTGGGGAGGTGAAAAACATCTGATAACAAGATACCAGTGGAGACAGCGTTAGAGCCTGCTTTCTAAGGCTCTACATATCGTGAGTGACCCATTACCTCTGATTTATATTGTGTAAATGGCTTTACAGTATTATGCTATGTATACATTTTTATCCTTTTTAGGCTGATCCAGAGACTTACCTATAACTAGAAAAGATACAATTTCTGGGGAAATTGTGTGAAGTGTTCTTGCCTCCACCAGTAGTCTACAACTGGAGTGGGCGACGTAACTGTTATCATTTATATAGCACATTTAATTGCAACGTTGTTGCACAGTTACATTAAACCATACATTTATAAAAACATTAGCAGGTGTTCAAAAGGCCCTGTCTATGACATCACTTGCTGCTGCAGCCTTGACAGGTCAGAGTATTTTGGTGGTTGCCATCTTCAAACGGTCATATTTAAAAACTATAACTCCTACAGCGAAGAGCTTTATATTGTGAGAATCACAAGACCCAGACCTACATTTTGATGCATAGTATGTCTCTGAAGTATTAAAATTGAAGGCACAGTCGCAGTTTAGAAATTGCACTTCAAATTTGAGCTTTGCAGAGTGAAGTTTCAATGAATGTCAATGGACGGCGTTAGTTGCAAACAAATGATTATATTGTGAAAACTATCAGGACTATGGCTTAGCCGTTGACATGTTTAGTGGCAGCAGGGATAGCTGAACGTTTTGATATAAGATTTGTGTAGGTGGGCCTGAAAATAAGGGAGTGGTGGCAGTTTAGAAATCATGTCCTGATTTTTCAGCTTTTGCCAGCTCCCACTCTAGCTTTGCCATTCATTCCTATGGGACAAATTTCGCCACAAGAACGACGATATTCCGTGAACCATTCGGCGAAACGTTCCACAAAGTAATAGCAATCCGATCGGGAACAATCTGCACGTTTTGGTAAATTTTGGTCTATGTAGTGTAAAAACTGTGGGAGGAGTTAGGGTGGCAAATTTGGCTATAATAAGAATAATATATATGTGAGATAACAATAAGTGTTCTTGCTATGCAAGAACACTTAATAATATATATGTGAGATAACAATAAGTGGTCTTGCTATGCAAGAACACTTAATAAGAATAATAATATATATGTGAGATAACATTAAGTGGTCTTGCTATGCAAGAACACTTAATAAGTATATTGCCATATTATCTTTTGCACCCCCCATCTGCTTTTTTCTCCTTTCTATAGTGTATGAAAGATTCAAGTGAAAACAGCAGCCCTGATTATGGAACATAATAATACAATGGATTTCACAATGAGTAATTGCAGAGAAACCTGAGCCATCAAGGCCAACGATGTTACAGAGACTGAGAGATCTTTTTAAGTTTTCTTATTTGTACCATCAATTCAGGACACACCAGGAGAGGAGAGCAAATAGTAGGAGAAGTGAATGTTGTCATTTGTCCTCATTTCTTTATAGGCAAAATTATGTCATAACTTATTTTAAACACTGGCCTTATAAGGAAACACCCCATATAAGGACTATACACCCAATCTCTCTATACTGCACATCCCAGAGTCCATATGGTACAGAATAGAAAACTAGCATCTGTTCTTTTGAACCCATTAGACATTCATACCTTTAGTATTTGAATAGGAACATGCATATCGTAATATATATTTGAATTTTCCCTCTGTTTATGATTTATCTAACAACCATAACACAATGTTATTTACCTGTCCATACATATATCATTCTTATCACATTCATTGGGTATAAAAATAGATGTGCTCATAGTTACCCGGTTGGTA